TACTTTAGATGCACTGAAATCAGAACTCTATTGTGCAACAATTTGTGTTAATTCTATGAACCCATCGTAAAAGACAGACTTTGCCCCAAATTGTTTACATCCTTCTAGAATAAAGACTTGGGTCCTGTCAGCCCTTTTTTCCTGGAATAGTCTTTGGATGGTCTGAAACTAAAATACTATGACATCATGAAAAACAAGGAAAAAAAAAAGCAACAGGAGAAAAAGACCAGACAAAAAACAAAATAAGTATCCGAGCAGAACCTTCATGAAGAAGAGATCACACAAAGGCTCCACAAACCTACTGCAAACATTCTACCAGGGTCTCAGGTATTTAAATGGCCCCACTAACATGCTACCCAAGTACCTCACATTCTTCTGTGTATTTACAATGTCATAACTAAGGGGGCGTGGTGCAAAAAGCCCACTGCAGCAGCAACTGCCACACGTGTCACACAGCTGCCTAGCTACATCTCTGTGTATTTACCGTCTAACAAATGTTGGAAGTCAGGACACTGAAAAACAGACAAGGTTAGTTGTCCAAAGGCAGTAAAGTTTGTGGTTGAACCAGAAAATAAAATCCATGCTTTCTGACTCTTAAGCTAGAAACCTAACCATTAGGAATTCTGCCTCTTAGCTTATTTCACAGGGAGGGGGCTCAGATACAGTGATGATAAGAAGTACAACAAAGTCTTTAAAAGACTGAAAGAGGGGGGAATTGTTAAGGCATCAATAAATTTCTTTACCTGTTGGTTTAACTGACGCCCATTTAAACTCAAATGTCTCTCAAACACTTTGGGAGAAGAAATCTCTCAATTAAAAGCCACACCCCTACTTCTTCAATAAAAGACCAAGAAAGCTCCCACTCCCCCTATTACCTAAGAAGACTTAGCAAAAAATAAGGAAGGAAAGATTAAGTTTCTTGGAATTTCTAAATTAAAAAACCTAGGGAAAAATAACTATTTACAATGGGGTCATTGGTTCTTCTAAAAATCCAATGAGTAGGTAGTATGATAATTGAGAAACCTTGCCACTATGTATTATCTTTTACAGAACAGAGGGTCCAATAAGTATGCAGTATAAAAGAAGCAAAAAAATCAGATGTCAGTGTGGCAGGAGGCTTGGTGCTCCTGGCACCTTAAGAGTTGGCAAGCTAGGGCTGAAAGAGCCTGCAGGTGTGGCCAGGGCTAACTTCTGGAGTCACCTGACCCTGGAGGAAGATAAGCCCAGACCTTGAAAGGAGTCAGAAGTAACATCCTGGAGGTTGCTGAAGGAACACTGTCAGAGTAGGATGGCTGCAGCTCCTGAGTGCCGGCACAGAGTACAGCCTGTAGCAGTTTAGAGGTCTGGGGAGGAACTGAGAGGAGGGGGTGGTTTCTAGGACCCAGGGGGGGATCCAGAGCCTAGATTGAGGGACTGAGTGTAGGACTAGAGAGGGTCCAGGAGTCTATTGAGCAACTGAGAGTGTGGGATCAGAAAGGATTCCAGAAGCCCAGATGAGGGGCTACGTAGAAGGTAACATCAGTGAGTGAGGCACAGGGCATGGTGCAGGAATGGACTGGAGCTATGCAATTAGCCCATGAGGCAGTGGCCACAGATACCTGGTGGTCATTTGAGAGAGCAATTGGGGAAGCCCTGGGGCAGCCTCCCTGATATAAAAGTAAAAGACATGAAGGCATGGTGGGCCATAGACAGTGAGGGCTGAAGGGGCTCCAGGTACTTCACAGCTCCCCCTGGAGAGGCTCCCTGTCACAGTCACCATTACAGAAACCTAAAGCTAAACTGAA